AATTAAAGAGTGTTATAGGAAATGTAGAAAAATTATTTTGTGTGAAATACTTGTGTGAAATATTAAAGAGCACAGGGAATGACCACTCTGACCAAGCCCTAGCTGCACCAGATAGATAAGACCATAGCTGAATGCCACCCTTAGGAATGACGTATGTAAACCTGATGGACACCTTCTGATGGACGCACTGTGATTGATAATCAGTTTGTACTCTGATTAACACTTGTGTGATGATGTATGTTACTGATAGCCACCTGGATTGCTGTGGGCCAGAACAGGCTTAAAAATGGGTCCCCGACTTTAGACATCGATCATCCTCTTGATCCACGCTCCACGCTGCCTTGCTCCACGCAAGATGGCAGAAGGACGGCCGAACCTCTGATGGTGAGCCTTAGGTTGCCCTCCTCCCGCTGACTCGACCCAACCAGACGGCCAGCCATGCAAAGATGGATCCGCCACTGCCCGCAGAGGACGCCACTCTTCCCCGCGACCCTGTTAAGTCTGAGCCCACGAAACCAGGAACGTTATGAGTAATAAAGTGTGCTGTGTGATTTGCAACTGCATATTTTTGTGCGGCGTAATTCCTCTGGCGATCTTAACTATATTAATAGTAGAGGCCCAGTGCACGAAATTCGTGCACAGTTAGGGTCCCTAGGCCTGGCCAGCAATCAGGGCCGATTGGGGCCTTCTGGCTGCTGACCGGGGCCTCCCTTCCCCAACTGCCCACTGGGGCCTTCCTTTGTTCCGCGCCGCCCCCTGGTGGTCAGTGCACATTATAGCAAGCGATCAAACTCCCTGTCTCCTGGTTAAACTCCCCAGGGGACAATTTGCATATTAGGCTTTTATATATATATAGATAGATAGATAAGGTCAGATGACAATGCCTACCCTTGGTCCTGCTTGCTCAGAGTAGTCTCTTCACTAGCAACTACTTAATGTCCAAATACCTGCACGGTTAAGTTTATCTCAAGGGATGCCTTGGATAACGCCCCATATACTCTACTCAGACACCCCCCTTCTGCTCATCCCCTCCCCCCTCTAATTGATCCTTAGAGAGTGTCGAAGGGAGGAAAGAGGAGGAGAGAAAGAGAGAGAAACATCAATGTGAGAGAGACATATTAATTGGTTGCCTCCTGCATGGGCCCCCGACCCGTGAGTTATGTGCCCTTGACCGGTAATCGAACCCAAGACCCTTCAGTCCTTGGACTGACACTCTAACCACTGAGAAAAACTGGCCAGGACTACACAAAGATTTTTAGAAGCACTTTTGCAATAGCAAAAACCCACAACACCCAAATGTTCATTATCAGGAAATTGGTTGGATTGCATAGGGGTCCCCAAAAGCAGAGCCTGGGACAAGGACTTGGGTGCTGGTTGTTTATTTGGGAAGTGACCTCAGCACCAGGAGTGATGGAGGGAGGAAGAATGCGGCAGGGGAGAAGGAACGGTCCATGTTAGGGGTGTGATTCCATGGAGACCTCTGTACAGAATGCCTCCCAGAATTGTCCAAATGAAGGATGGGAGCCTGGGGCATTTACCTCTTGGCTCACATCTCCCATTGGTTGAGGGTTAATGCTCTTTACCTTCAGGCTGCCCCTGCGAGAGGGCTGAGAAGGCGCTTGTGGCTTTCCAGAAGGCAGAAATATGGAGAGGCCCAAGGCCTAGCACTTACAGTGGAAATTGTCAGTGACTGGGAGCTCCCGTGAAATCGGACACCACAGATTCAGCCAATTTCAGAGGTGGCCCAAAGGCAGGAACACAATGTACCAAGAGCTTTTGCTGCAAGGGACAAAGTAATATTAGCATATTCTACACTGGAAACGTCTACAGCCGACATAATAAATAAAACTCAACCACGTGTAATAAGCCTGAGGTAAATCTGAGTGCTATAGCATACATAGTCAAAGAGAAGTCCCAGGATAGTATGTGAGGAGTGATACTCTTTTTAAAAAACAAGACAAAACATCTTTTTTATTGATTTTTAGAGAGAGAGGAAGAGAGAGAAATAGATTGAAACATTGATGAGAGAGAATCATCAATTGGCTGCCTCCTGCACGCCCCCTACTGGGGATTGAGCCAGCAACATGGACATGTGTCCCAATCGGGAATCGAACCAGTGACTTTTTGGTTCCTGAGTTGACACTCAACCACTGAACCACGGAAGCCGGGTGATAGGAATGGTACTCTTTTAATTAAAATTAATAATATGTGTTTTGGAAATATATGTACATGTCCATATACACACACATATACTTTTGTATGTATGTAAATACATATACATAAAATTTTGAAAATTGCAATAACCTTTTTCTGTGTACTTGAATTCTAAGGAAAAACTGCAAAGGATTATTAAGAGAACATATTAAGAGATCTTGAAAATTAATAAAAAAGATAAACAACCAATAAAAAAATGGGCAGAAAGATAGGAATAGATATTTCAAAAAAGAAAAAAATATATAACTAATAAATATACATAAACACATTCAACCTCAACTTTATATTTTATTTTTAAAATATATTTTTATTGATTTCAGAGAGGAAGGGAGAGGGAGAGAGAGATAGAAACATCAATGATGAGAGAGAATCATTGATTGGATACTTCCTGTATGCCCCACACTGGGGATCAAGCCCACAACCTGGGATGTGCCCTGATCAGGAATCCAACTGTGACCTCCTGGTTCATAGGTCAACACTCAACCACTAAGCCACACCAGCCAGGCTAAAATATTTATTATTTTTAATAAAATATTTTTAAGAGCAAGAAAACCATAAGTACAAGCTTAAGCACTGGGGTGGGGGGAATGGGGGGGAAATGTGTACTTGTCAGTTCTAATGTTCAGGGTGAATTATGAGTAACAAAAGAGGGCTGCACATGAACCAATGAACAGGGTCCTGACCCATGGATTACAGGTAATCCAATCCTGTACCCTTGAGGTCTAAGAGATAAGATTATATGGCATGATATAGACATGCTGACAACACAAAGGAAGAAGCTGGAAGATACTCCCTTATTCCTGGGAAGGTCAGGGACCAAAGAGGTGACAGTTCATTGGCATAGAAGAATGTGGAGAGGATTGCCAAATGGGAGGAGCAGAGGGTGTGGCCGCCCATTCCAGGTGGAAAGGTACTGAAATGAAGGACAGCATGGCATGATCTATAGACCATAGATAATTAGTGTTGGTGGAAAAGGAGAATGAGAGTGATAGCGGCAAATGATGGACTCAGAAGATAAAAGGTTAGACCAGCCCTGTGCAAACTACGGCCCGCGGGCCAGATGCGGCCCGTTTGAAATGAATAAAACTAAAAAAAAAAAGACTGCACCCTTTTATGTAATGATGTTTACTTTGAATTTATATTAGTTCACACAAACACTCCATCCATGCTTTTGTTCCGGCCCTCCGGTCCAGTTTAAGAACCCATTGTGGCCCTTGAGTCAAAAAGTTTGCCCACCCCTGGGTTAGACACTGCACACTGTAAGTAAACAAGAGCACTGGAGGACTTGAAGGAGGGTGTTGTCAGGATTCACTTCTGGAAGAGTCTCACAGCAGAGGGAGGGTGCCGGAGGCAGGAAGATCAATTAGGACATAATGATCTTAGCACAGGACAGAAATACTGAAGGCCTAATTTATGTAGATGCTCTGGTGTATGTGGGCCTGTGTGGTCTAAATCAAGAGGTTTTTAAGTAGAAAGATAATTTTGTTTTCCTATTCTCCTGTGCCTTTCTTTCTTTCTTTTTGTTTTGTTTGTTTGTGTGTGCCTTTCTTTTCTTTTTAAAAAGTATTTTTTGGGCCCTAGCCGGTGTGGCTCAGTGGATGGAGCATCAGCCGGAGGACTGAAGGGTCCCGGGTTCAATTCTGGCCAAGGGCACATGCCCGGGTTGTGGACTCGATCCCCAGTGTGAGGTGTGCAGGAGGCAGCCAATCAATGATTCTCGCTCATCACTGATGTTTCTATCTCTCTCTCCCTCTCCCTTTTTCTCTGAAATCAATAAAAATATATAAAAAATATTTTTTGGTGTGTGTGCCTTTCTTTAATAGCATTTATCACCCTAGGCATATTTACTTATCTGTGGTCTCTTCCCCCCCCCCCCCCCCCCCCCCCCCCC